TACGATGTTGAAAATTTGGATGAATCCTTTATAGTTAGTTTGTAGACGGACAGATGGACAAACACACAAACGGACAAACAGATAGAGTAAAAGAATCAGTTAGAGTCTCGCTCGGCTCCTCAGGCAAAAAAAGAAAATTATAAATAAGTCACCATTCTCAAAGCTCCCCATTAATGTACATTGACTGTTCTGTTTTTTTTAATGAATCTGTAAAAAAAAAAAATATTTTCTTTATTTCTACCAGGAAGACTTTGTAGGATCTGGCAAGGCCAAAAATCAAGTGTGGAATTATGTTTACTTTGTATTAAATGAGCCACTTAATCTAAATAAATGAAGTGTTTTGAATTTCCATGGCTTTATATGCCTTTTCAAAATCTAATAGACATAGAATTCCAATCCCCCCCTCTCTCTCTCTCAATTATATCTTGTTATCTTGCATTACAATTTCGATTTAATTTGTGTTCATATCTGGTCAGAGATTTTTTCACTGATATAGAGACGTCACCAATAATCAGTGTTAGACTTCAAATTCTAATTTAGACCATTCCCATGCACTCGTGGTTATCTTAGCAACGATGGGTCTTTATAGTGCAAACGCCATGTCACGGGGCCACGATTTTGAAGGTCCCATTCCAAATGACCCAAAACTTTCACCATAAAGTTCTGTGCACATGACAAAAGAACAGCTGATACCTATTTTTTAGTGACGAAGGAACAGTCGCGACCAGGATTCAGACAAACGATGAACCTTCCAATGGCAGAGAGAGGCCCCCATTATAATTCATTTAATTTACTGTTGCTTTACTGTTTGTTTAATTTTATAATTCCAGAAGAAAGTCTTTTGATAAAGCGTGGATTAATTTAGTGAAAATGTTAAATATAAACTGAGAAAACATGAAATAATCGAATTCACATTGATTCATTCATTTTTTTTTCATATCACTATACCTCCTTCTTTCTTGCTCGCAAATCCTCAAAAAATCAACAACCTTTAACAACACTTAAATATTCTGTATCGTTTTGGAAAGGGAAGAAAGGGCAGTCAGGGAAAAAAATCGATTTACTTGAAAAAGTTTTGAACGCAATAATTTTTTTTTTAGCTCGAATATCCTTTTTCAAACATAACTTCATGACGATGGTTTGACTAAGAGTGGCGAAAGATGGAGAATCGCCTTTCAATATTCCTTTTGAAAGTGATATATGATTAATATTGGGACACTCACTCTCCTCGACCTACTGATATTACGTTCTAAATATTGTTATTTGTGCATGTTGATTTTTTTTAATTTGTATCATTTTAATGTCCTTTTTCTGATCCTGCTCAATATTCCAGTCGTCACACACAATTAAACACATATTTTTGGCATAAATTTTTAATGTAAAAACGCTTTTTAATATTATCTGGCAAAAGAAATATCTTTTTTATTACTCCATTACATACTTAGTACATCCATATTGAATGAATATCTTAAATTTTTTGAGCTTTGAGCAATCGTTTTCATATACTGACTTTTATATAATGTGTCATTGATAAACATTACCGTTTATACATGAATGAAAAGAATAAGCAATGAAGGATATGGAGATAACGAACAGTATTCCATATCAAAGTCTATAAAACAATACAAAACAGGAGCAGAACAAACACAAATCACCAAAACATCAGAGGTGGGATCAGGTGCCATGGAGGAGTGTGCATTCCCTACCAACCGGTTACACTCCTTGTTATGATCGGGAAATAACGAGAAAATCCGTCGTCGATTCAGTAGTAGACGTTGGTCTGAGTGAGTAAATGAACTTCAACTTGAACATGTCAATACAAATATTTAAATGTTGAATGATCACACAAAGAATAACCTCGTTATTAAATGGACTTAAATTCTCAATTTTACATTATGATGGTCGAGATTATGTAGGCATAGAAATAAATATGAGCATTGAAGGCTTCGGCTTATAAACAAAACGATCGCCTGTCACATTTTCAAATAAATCACAATATGGTATATGTTCACGTAGGAAAAAAAGTTAAACCTCATTATCGTAAAGTCTATATCGGACCATGACGGCAAGAGAGTTTTTGTCAATTAAATATGTAAAAGTATCGCCAATTTGAGTGGACTCAATTAAGGTCCATGACAGCATAACAGTTGGTAATTTAGCATGTGTATTCTTGTTTACTCAGCTGGAGAATTCGTCCTTTTCATGAACACATGTATTTTCTGCAATTTTATTGAATCAGCTAACGTGCTCTAGAGAAACTTGTTTGGAATGAAAACCTAGGATTCCATCATATATTTTTCGCTGGGGTTGAGTGTTGTTAAAATATCAAAATTGAATGTGTGTCATCTTTCAAAGTGAAAAAACCTTATGTCGTGCATTATTTTAAAAGCATAAATTTAAAAAAAATTGATATAGTTAAATAATGAACTCTAAATGACTAAGACTCAAACAAAAAATATTTTTTATTCATTTATCCCCTTTCTTTACCAAGGTGGCATTCATAAAATTCAAAAAAATTTTGAATAATGTCTGTATCATCAAAAAGTCATGAACTGTACATAAAAACATATTATTATCAGTTGCCGTTGTATAAACAACTAAATTCTGTAATGATTATTCACTAAACTTAATTCAAGGTTTGCAGGAAACATTACAAAAAAATAGGTTGTCCTTTATTGAATATTTATGATAATTCTCAAAAAGAAATATTCAAGCTTATATACATCAGTACAAAAGACACCATCCATTTAAAAAGATCTGCATACCAATGATTAAAAAATGAAAAGGAACGACTTTACCTTACCGGTCCCCAGAAAAACGCACTAAAATGTACTGTCGCCGAAGGCGAATTCAGTATATATGAGATCGCATGAGCGATCGAAAAAAAATTTAAATACGAGGTTTTTTGGCCTTTTGACCCCAAAATTGAATTCTACGGTTAAAAGTTTAGTTTAAAACTTTAAACAAAGTTTTTAACCTCGTTCTCTGAAAAAAATTAATAAATATTGTTTATTCATGGAAAAAATCGACAAAGAATAATTCTAAACGAAGCGCGTGCGGCGCGTGCTTAGTGTCATTTCTTTAGCCAATCTTCCATATAAATAAACGAATGAAATGCCTATGAATCTGAATTATGATCTTGGAAAAATTAAGAAACAACTGAATTTCTTAACTTTACTAAAAGAACGATTCACTAACCCTAATCCATCGGATGGTATGCAAGGACTAAGACGTTCAGACGAAATCTCCCGGGCAGATGCTAAACTAACCCTAATCAGTCGAATAATGTGCGAGGACTAGCCCTAATCTCTTTGATGGACGCGAGACTAACCCTAATCAGTCGAATACTAGTGCAAGGACTAACCCTAATCTCTCAGGTGGGTGCCAGATTAACCCTAATCAGTCGAATAGTGTGCAAATTTAACCCATTTCAGTTGAGTGATGTAGTTGTTACGTCATAGTCCAATGAGCGCGAGGATCTTGCGGATCTGGGGACAGGTAAAGTAAAGTCTACCCAATGAAAATATTACAATCAGGTAAAATCATATATTTTGGTGGGGTCAAATGTTCGTGGTTTTTGGGGGGAAATATGGTAATTTTGGATGGAGAATTGTTAAGGAGTAATATCTATGAAAAATCACATTGCATGGTGGACTTAAATGCGAGGGTCTCTTCATACCTCGATAACCAAGAAAATTTAACTCTACGAAATTCATTGATTTCCCAGTAAGTAAATGGCATATTTGAGCAATATATAAGAATACATTTTCATTGGTTAGTATTGGGGTGGAGGGTAGGCGGGGTTACCACCAGGTGGTGGATACTGATTATACTGATTGAATCCTGGCTGTGGTTGCCCGTAACTTGGAGGTGGCTGTCCATATCCTGGCTGTCCGTAATGAGCTGTTAATAGAAAAATATATTTCATATAAAGTACAACAAATCAATCATTTATTTCTTCTTAATTTTGATATATTATGGATATATGTAACAATAATAATTTAATGTACCTGCAAAAAAAAGTACAACAGCTGAAAATACAGTTTTTATTTTATTCAACAATATCTTGAAGGTTTCCCATTGTTAAATTGGTTTGGCATACGCATTTCTTTCTTCGCATTGAGCAGTTAGCATATTACAGAGACAAAAACTAATCATTAACTATTGTATTGTAGCTTAAGGTTCATTGATAATCTGATAAGAGAGATAACTCAAAATGAAATAAATGTATTTTAATATTTGTTTATAGATTTACCTAGAGAAGTGTATTTTTTGTGCATTTTTGTTCCGCAAGCTATGCTATAATTGTATTTTACTTTTAAAATACATTTCTTTTGGAAAATCATTAAGGTTAAATCAACATTTTACATGAGTGAACAGATGGTTTATAAACCTTAATTAATTGACATTCATCAGGAGTAAACCCGATTTGCTCCGAAAGCTATCATAAATTGCGTTTAATATTATATAGAACAAAAAACATTGTAATCAAAATATTTTATTTCAGGTACAGAGGAGTTTAATGAATTCTTTTCATCATTTTGAGAACTTAAAGGACGTTATCTCTAAAACCCCTCGATTTCGTAAAATTTGGTAAGTTTTGAAAAAAAAGTTAAAATAATTGCAGTTCTTACAAAAAGTTTTTCGTTATCAAGCAGTTTTAAAGCTCTGTCAAACTAGAATTATTTCCACGTCAGCCGCTATTTTTTTTTATCCTATTATCTGTTACATGTTTAGAACATGCTATAAATTTGTATATTAATATGTGGCAAGGAATTTCATACATTTTATTTTGTGCTTACTGATTAATTATTATTTTGTATATTATGAATAAAATACTTCTTAAACTAAACTAAACTTAAACTAAACTAATTATCATTTTAGCTTTTGTAGCCATCGATTATAATAAATGCTAAGAAATGTACACCATATTAAATACAAGCCACCTTAATTTCACATCTCAAAGAAAAAAAAAGGATTCGGTACAATAATATAGTTACCTGTAGTCACAGTGTGAACTGCAGGGGTGTTTTGAATGATCATTCCTGGCCGGTTCTTTTTCTTACAACATATAATTATAATGACAACCGCTACGATGACTAGGAAAACAATGCTACCCACAACAGCTCCAGCGATGGTCCCGGCGCTACTGTAGGAGGAATAGTAATAGTAGTAGTAGTAGTAATAATAGCAGTAGCTGTAGTAGTAATTGCAGTAATATGCTGCTGATGCAAAATGGTATCCTGAAATAGAATAGAAACGGACATTTCAAGAAGTTTCTAAGGACGGTTGTACGTGTTCAAAATAACAGAGTAGACTAAACGAAGTGGTGTGGGATTTAGTTTGATTGAATTTATGTTAAAGTATTCAGACAAGCGACGGACCCTCCGATCGAGGAGAGAGCCCTCCGTTACAATTCTATCATTTAATTAAATGATTGCTTTACTGTTGTTTTAATTTTGTTATTCCAGAAGAAGTCTTGTGTCAGCCTAATATGTTAAAGAAATTAACAATGAAAACGTATAAATACGTCACCATTCTTAAAACTACCCATAAATGTACATTAACTGTTCTGGGTGTTTTTAATGGATCTGAAAGATATTTTCTTTATTTCTACAAGGAAGACTTTTCAGGATCTGGCAAGACCGAATATTCAAATATTGATTGATTATAAAATTAATTGCTAGTTAATTATTTCTTTTATGTTGTTCATTTATAAGTTTATTTATAATTTTCAATTTTTCTTGAGTAGTCTATGCCATTTCAGTGAAAGTAGAGGGAGACAGACTTTTTTTGCAACAAGAAAAGCAAAATTTGATCATTGAAGCATTTTATAACAGGTTATTCCCCCGGCAGCAAAACTTATAGAAAATTTTCTCTCGTATATACAGTAGGTTATTCAAATAAAAAAAAAATACGTGGACAATTGTTCCATTTACATTAAATTGTCGCAAGTTTAAATTTGTCAATGAATTGGTGCGCGTTGTAAGACATCCATGCACTTTCTAATAGAACAAATAATACCCACACATAGACATTACAGGCTATTAGTAAAGTCTTTATAAATATGCTTTCTACATGCTATACGTTCTTGAAATCGATCAAATCGCATACGTACATGTAACACCCCTACTAATGTTTTCGGAACCTTTTCTTTTTCGGTGTTCTGCAAATTATAAAACCCGGTGACTTCAGAGTAGCTCTGACAGTGGCTCTGGCGAGAGTTAGCGAGACTTTGCTAGACATTACATTAATGTGGCTAGAAAGTGACTAGCACGTGGAGACATGGTAAACAGAAAAGTTATGCTGCGTTTTAGTTTTCACCACCCTATAATATAATTCTGTAGAAATGTACTTCAACAAATCTCTCTTGAATTCATTCAAGTTTAAATTATAAGTATTCTCTATGATACAAGTTTCTGCTGTCATGAATTAAATACATGGGAAACGGGATTATATTTTTTGGCGTCAGAATAGCACATGAGGCACCAATGTGACTTTAACTGACAAATCAGCTGAATGAGAATTTCATTATGGGTTACTATGAATACTACAGGAATTAATTTTACGCTTGATAAATTCCTTTATTGTACTATCGATGAATACAATTGTCAAGTAGATTCCCTGGCCAACACATGTGATCACAGGTATAGTTAAGTAAAAACTTATTTGTCCATTTAATTGCATACGAGAAGCTGCTCCTTTTCCTTACCCTTGAAATGCTGGTGTTCTGAACATGACACTAACTACGTAATACATACATTTTATAAAACATATTTTTCTCAAGTTAACAACAAATTAAAACGCCCGTGATACTTTTCATAGTTTCTAATGTTTGCATTTTGTTCATAAGAACATTTTTTTTTAATTCTGCACTCCATTGACATGATCATAGGTTGACCTGAACCACGTGTTCGAAGTAGCATGTATTTGGCGAAAACGTATTCAATCAACAATTGGTCAGTTGCTCGTGGTAAGATCCTCTGTGCACATTAAAAGCAATAGCCATATAAGGCAAACAAAGGTTTGTCAGTGTAGATGATATTACACATTTTTTTACCAGTGTATCGGTCGCTGTTGAGCTGTAATTTTTTGCAGTAAACTATGATAAGATGTATTAATTTTTATTTACCCCCGCCCTTTAGCCACCCATTTCTGTTAGAAATCATGAAAGTCTTTTGGAAAGGTCTGGAAACATATTTTACACAGGACATGTTTTCACGTGAAACAGACTAAGCAATTTCCTGTTTAATGCAAATTTTATTTATAAAATCTCTAACATATAACCTTTAAATAGGAAAACCTAAACCACGTGTCTTGAATTTAAATCACAATAACATTAGTAGGGGTCTGTACGCCATGATAAGCAACAATATTGGAACACAAAAGATTTAAAGTCCTTGAAGAAAAAAACTACCGGTAGTCACAATTGATCGATTTATCTTCAGAAGAAGTGTTTATCTATATTTTTTTCAGAACCAATGCCTGAATAGATGAAGTAACTCTATACTATTGTACTTCCTGGTCTTTTTTAAATACATTTCAAAATACCGATTTTATCTCCCATTACCCCTTGGGTGCCTCTTATTGCCTTGGAAATTATGTTAATTTGACGTTCTCTATATTTGTTAACGACATTGAGATTTATTGAATCAATGAATTTGACAAGTATTTTAAATTATATTTATCTTAATATTTCTAAACAAAAATAAAAATCTTTCGCAGACCAAAATGTCTGTGTGGCGAATAAGTTGAAGGACAAAAAATGAAAAAAAAAAGCTAATGTAGTTTTTGAAATGAACAAATATTATAACAAAAACAAATTAATTTTGTCTATTGTTAAATGATGAAATTTGTTTTCTTAAGTTTGATTTTAAAATTTAATTAATACAGAAAAGGAAAACATTTTAACACAGACTTTAATGGAATTTTTTATATTGAAGATCTTTGTAAATGTAAAATATCACTAGTGTTGTTAAACAACAGATATGAATTAATACTAAATTATACTAAACACTTGAATTCAATTAAAAAAAAAGAATAAAATACTCACCTAAAATGTTGAAGAGACTGAGAAAAAATACCCAAATCTTAGAGACCTGAGACATGATTATGAATTAGATTTAAATATGGTCTTCAGATTCAGCTTTAAAATACGCAATTTAAAAAACTAAATATAGAATGTAGAATTCCAGTTATATATACCCCTAGTGGAAAATTCATTTGCATAATAATTTATGGAATCAACGGATCACTGATCGCCTTTCTTTTTGCTTTAAATTAGGCAACAAAAAAATTGTAAGAATCAAATATACACTTCGCAGGTCCGGAATAATTGAAAAAAATCAACGCTACTAACTATTCTATTTTTTTTTATTTAAATTTTGCAATGACTGCTATGTAATTGTTACGAAGGGGAATTCAAAGGAAAATATACCAGGATGTCTCTTATAAGGCAGTTCGTAGAGCCACTGAAATAATAGTATGATGGGGTAAAATCAGAAATAATCTTGTTTCTTGTGCTAAAAAATTCAATTGTGGGGTACATAACTAATTATAACCTCGTTATGAAACGGAATCTAATTCTCAAAATCAACTTAAGTGAGGTTTTACATTGAGATGTACGAAATTATGTATGCATGAAAATAGAATTGAGCATTTAGGACTTCGGCCTATAAACAAAACGATCGCCTATTATATTTTAAAATTAAGCACAATATTTATGATGCATGTTTCACATATAGGAAAAAGGGAAGCCTCTTTATCGTAAAGTCTATATGGTACAATGGCGATAAGAGAGTATTTGTCAATTTCATATGAAATTATCATCCATTTGAATTAATTCAAAGTCCATGTAAACATTATAACAGTTGGTAATTAAGCATGTACTCTTCTTAACTCAACTAGAAAATTCGTCCTTTAAAGCACATACATTTTTCTGCAATTTCATTAAATTTTATTGAAATCAGCTTAAGTAGTCTGGAAATACAATATAAGATTCCGATATATTTTTTGAGTGGGGGATGGGCGTTGAAAACATATCAAAACTAATTGTGTGCAATCTTTTTAAAGTGAATAAACCATATTTCGTGTGCCCCGGGTATTATGATACGAGCATATATTAAAAAACATTATATATTTGAATAATGAACCCTTTATGAAAATAAAGATTCAAAGAGAAAATATTTTTTTTGATCTCAAAATATGGTATTTATACTATTTGAAAAAATAATGAATACAGTCTATTGTATCAACAAGTTACAAAGTGGACATAAAAGCACATCACCATCATTTTGACTTGAATAAACAACTGAATTTAATTATGATTAATCACTAAATGTACCATTAAAGTTTTGTGGAAATCAATACAAAAGATTGTATATTTGCTTTATTGAGTATTTATTAATGATATATTTCTTGCAAAAAAATTATTCAAGCCTCATATACATCAGTACGAAAGATACAATCCGTTTAAAATATTTTGCATACCAATAATTAAAACTTAAAATATAACCATACTGTAAAATCACATATTTTGGAGGAATCAAATGTTAGGATGGAGGAATCGTTAAGTAGTTATATTTATGATAATTAACATTTCATACCTCAAAAACCTCGAAAATTCGTGATTTCCCAGTAATTGAATGGCACTTGTGAGAAAAATACATTTATATATAAGAAGATATTTTCATTGGTTAGTATTGGGGTGGGGGTGGTGGAGGGTAGGCGGGGTTACCACCAGGTGGTGGTGGATACTGATTGTACTGATTGAATCCTGACTGTAGCTGTCCGTAACTAGGAGGTGGCTGTCCATACCCTGGCTGTCCGTAATGAGCTGTTAATAGAAAAATATTTTTCATATAATGTTGCAAGAAGTAATTCATTTCAGGTAGGTGTAACAATTATTTACAAGGAGTTGATATTTCTTCTTTATATTAACATATTTTTGAGTAATAATAATTCAAAAGGTCAATAAAAAAAAACACTAAAACGGTTTGGTTATTTATTCGAGAATATTTTGGGGTTACCATATGCTTCAACATATGCTTCATTTTCTTTCCTCTGCATCAAGCAGTTAGCATATTTCAAAATAAGAAACTATAGAAAATTAATCATTAACTATTGTATTGTGAAGTATGTGTCATTAACCAGAGGTAAGCTTATTTTCCTCCAAAAGTCCCTCTGTAACAGATAAATTTCATGGGGTCAATTTTAATGTTTGATGCTTAATTTTTGATTCATGTGGATTTTTGCCTAACAACCGTCTCGAGAATTTTTCAGATATACGACTTTCCTTAAAATTGGTCCCATTAGGTGGCCTAATTCTCTTAATTTGGGCTCAAATTATTGTATTGTTTCTTTGAACGTTTTTCGAATTTATATTTCGTGACCTCGAAGAAAGAGAAGGAAATTCAATATAATGTTCAGTTTAAACCACTAGGGGGCTTTAAATTCGATTAGAAAAAAAAACCAGAAATCGATTACAATGATTTGCTTCCTTACTTGTGGTCACAGTGTTTTTTTTTTACTTATACATATTACTTGACCATGAAGTATTAAAAAGAAATTCCCTATAATATTCTATACCTGCCACAGAGAGTTTAAATTCGGATTTAAAGGAAAAGAGATATAAATTATAATAATTTGGTTCCTCACTTGTGGTCACTGTGTTGACTGCAGGTGTATTATGAATGACCTGTCCTGGTCTATTCTTCTTCTTACAGCAGATGATGATGACCACGACAACAACGATGACGGTGAAAATTATACCTCCTACGATAGCCCCCGCAATGGTACCTACGTCACTGTACGATGAATAGTAGTAATAGCAATAGTATCCACTATATCCAGAGTAGTAACAATAATACCCAGCTGATGCTAAATGGTACCCTGAAAGAAAAAAAACCAATTTTCAAACAATGAGATATAGAGAGTTATAAATGAATTGAACCATTCTAGCAGGGAAGTTGTCAATGCATGGTCTGGAAGGGAATCTTAAGGGGGATCCTGTACTCACACCCCATTTAGAATTTGTTTCAATAGATTAAAAATCTTTAAAATCTTGATTTAATGTTAGATAGTTAAATATAGCTTTACATGAATATTAAGATTTAAATTTTAAATATTTCATTCGTCATTCTCTTTCTCATCACCTCTGACTAAATTTTAATGAATATTTTCATTCTTTCTTTGTAATATTAAATATTTATTTTATGCATACTGATATTAAAAGGTAAATGAATATAAACACTTCTAAGGAACATTCGTTTACATTGCTCACGAGTTTAAATGCCTTAAGAAAGCAAGAGTTATCGATCGCTTTTCAATAGTAGAATTGTGTGCTTAAGTGAACTTCACACACTTGTACAGGACAAATATCTGAATGCGTGAAGTAACTGTATACTTCTTGATCGTGAACTTCGTGAATTTTAAGATATTTTAAAATACCTGAACCTGTCCTCTCTTTTCTCTGTACATGCCTTGGATTTCGAAACATTATTTTAATCTATTTCAATGTGAAATAATAATATTGAGATTTATTTTGACCATGAGGGTAAAAAGCTTCCTGTTTTATATTTTTAAATCTACAGCTGTATAAGATGTACATTTATAATGTCCTGATTTAAATTTTTTTTCATTCATTCAGTGAATGAAGAATGGAAACTAATTGCACTACCCATCACATTATATTAATAAAAATTGATCCTTTTTCTCATGAAGCAAACATTATTTAATTATCTATACGTAAAATTTAAGACAATTGATTTCCGAAAATACTTAAAACAATTTGTACAGAGCTTATTATAATAATTAAGTGTTTGTGTTAAATATCCATTTTTCAGAAATCATTAAAACAGAAAATCATATATATGCAGTTCCAGTATTAATCACATATTAAAAACAATTTATAAAGTTTTATCTTTTTGTAATGCTGAACAATTAACTAAACGATAATTGTGGATTTTTATAATTGATTCTCAAATACGTTACCCTTAATTTAAAGAAGGTAATAACATGAAAATAATATTTACAGGGGAAAATTAACACGAATAAAAAAAAAATGAGTTGCTTAAAATAATTAAATAACTGTTACCTAATATATGGATGAGACTGAGTAAAAATATCCAAATCCTAATAGCCGGAGCCATGATCATGTATTTGATTGAACGAGGAAAAAAATAATCCGAACGCTTTCAAAATCTGGCTATTAATCATGGAATTTCAAAATGCAAGCATATATGTACCACCTGTTGGAAATAAAAATAGTGCCTATGGATCAATGACCTTTATTTTCTCTTTAAAAGTCCAGTAGATAAATTAGATTCTTAATGGACATTTCACTTTTTGTACATTTGTATTTAGTTTAAATATTAAATTAAAAGTGAAGATATGCTTTTTTGTACACAAAAATAGAGTTGGGCTGCGGTTTTTATTAAGATCTTCTAACAAGGAGTCTTGACATCTGATGTATTTCAATCGAAATAAGTCAAAACATTTATAAGGTCCATTAAAGTGAAAGTTACTTGAATACAATCTTATATTATATATTAAATCATGCCATTTTATGATTTGTAATATTCAAAAGACGAATTTAAATAAAAGTTTGAGTAATGGTGGATGCTGTAGAAAATTTTTAATTATTCATGGAAAGAGGAAGCGATGCGATGTTTTAGCTCACCTGACCTGAAGGCTCAAAGTAAAATTTTCTGATCACCCGTTTTGCGTTGACAATTCCTCTGTTATTCCTTCTGTCTGTCTATTTGTCTGTAATTTTTTTTACACCTTCTATTTCTTCTTGGCCAATTTTAACTAAATAAAGCCCAAACTATTCTTTAATGAATGGAATAATCCGATTAAAATTGAAATGTCACATCTTATTTCGAGATGATATAATGAACAAGCATTCTGAGAGTATTGCATAAGCAATACATGTCCCCTACCGGGTCCCCCTTTTCTCTTTCGGGTGTCATTTTATTAGAGCCTGTGTATGAAAAATTGTTACCTAAATATGGACATTTAAGTAATTACTTGAATATGAATGAAATGTATTGGATCTGCCTTACAAAGAAAGACTCACACAAAAATGCTTTGATCAGAACAGCTTATTTTACATGGTTGAAAAACAATTTTATACCAGAAAAAATCAAACTTTATCTATATTTGTCACTTTAAAGGTATCTAGCAAGTTTCAAATCATGATACATTAATCCAGTAGCACTCGGAGTTCCTCGGATGACTTGTACCTCGCACATATTGAATTGAATGGAGCGTTTCGGAGTCAGCCGAGGATTGCCGATTGATCCAGTAGTGCATCACGACATTAATCTAATGCATCACGAACCCTATTGTGAACCCAATTATTAAAAAAATAAAAATACCACAATTCCTTCAGAAATCAATGAAGTAGAACGAAATGCAAACTTCATTTATAATTAATCAATTTATAAAAGCTATCCAGCAAGTTTCAATTCATGACAAGTAATCTCGTTTAGAACATAAATTGAGTGCATCACGACATAAATGTAGTGCATCACGAACCCTATATTTAACCCAATTATAAAATTAAAAAAATAAAAATACCGTATTTCCTTCAAAATTCAATTAAGCAGAACGAAATGCAAACTTGATCTTTTACTATTTAAGGTAAAGGCTTATACTTAAAACCAGCTCAATATCTGCAAGCGTTTAGGAGAAAAGTGCGGAAAACCTTGAAAAATTGAATCGGCCTTTATTCCGTAAAAAATCATTGAATCGGAACGATATTCAAACTTGATCTGTAACTCATCAAGATACACCCACATATAAAAAATCAGCTCAATATCTTTATATTTTTAACATTCGACATGCCTGCGGCTCTCTGTGGCCACACATGTTAAAAAAATAATGGAGAAACAAAAGAGTGATGGTAAAAATAAAACGAACATATAGTACATTACCTATCTCAAGACTTCCATCAATAATTATAATTATTTGCCGAAGCCCCTTTTCAATTACAATTTTAATAAAATACATTAACACGGAATAGAGAAACAATTTTGGGTGAACAGGCCAAAGAAAGCGATCAAAATTCAAAATGATTTTATGCAGTGTTAGAAATTGTGATTTAGTGTAAGATCGGTGAATTATTCTTATTGATTCGATTAATTAAAAACACAATTTTCTATTAATTGATGGGTCTTTGTACACAATGGATTTTATACACGATCACAGAGTATGCAGACACTTGCTTTGTTTACGACAACAAGTGGCTGTACACTAGTGACCTCGATAGGCACCGTGGGATAAGCGCGATGGATTACATAACATCTAGGCGAACGTGGAGATCAACTAAATGATCGTGAATTATTCGATTAATAAAGTTTAAAATTACTTACAATAATAATTAATGTAGAAAGATAGATTTAATATATTCCGATGAAGACGTGTTCACTATAAAACTAATTAATAATACATAAAAAGAAAGACTAATTGTTATAAAAAAAATTTAATAGTGAACCGTAAAGCATGTATAAAGACCTTTTTAGAAGAAATTTAACAGTAAATACCATAGGGTATATTATTGATAGGAAGTCTGTGTAAATTATACAAATGAAGAGGTCTGATTTCCTTTCCAAATAAAAAACGCTACCTGTTTACCTGGCCTGCTTTCTTCTTCGTGTTACGCAATACCCCCGGTATAATCGAGCAAAACAACATTTTCAACAGATCAAAAAGGTGTCAAAGAACAATTTTGATCGTAAGATCCAGATCGAAATTTTTACCGTTTTCGAGTTATAAATCAAAAGCTTTCAAGTTCCCTAAATCCCTAATTATAGGGGCCAGCCCCTTTTGAGTAGTATTATATGAAAGCCCCTGCAATTATGCACAACTTTTGTTCTACATGTCTTAACAAAATATTTTTAGTTTTCAAGATATAAAGGAAAATATGTGTAAATTTTCGCTTTTTTAGGCGTTCTAATTTTTGACCCCTATATAGCGCCATTTTGAATACAGAAATCGAAAAACAAAAACCGATGTGCACAACTTCAATCCTTCTGTTATCTAAAAACAGTAAAATTTCTGCTCCAGCTCTAGTGGTCTCTGAGCCTTTATCTGGAAATGAAAGCCTATAATTTTTCGTTTAAAGGGGAATAACTCATAAGCGGAAGTAAATTTTTGAAATGTTAGGCAGTATTCTGATAGAGTTTATTATCGTCTATAAGGTCTGAAAATTTGAGCAAAATCCATTGAGAAATGAGCGAGAAATGAGGCCTCATAGTTGGCGTCTAGGAAGAAAAAAAAAAGAATAATAAGACTAGAGCAAAGCTCGTTGCAAAGCAACGAGTGGGTCTTCCTTCCTAGCGATAAGCAAAAGATTCAATGTTTCTGTCTAGATTGTCAACTTTGCTAACATTCTCTTTTTCGATTTGTCTCAAAAACCCTTACTTGAATTCTTTAATTTGGTGTGAGCATGAGGTCTAAAGGGTACTCTCTCTAACAGCATTCTTGAAATCGTATCCACAACAGTTTAACTTCCAATATTATGACTTTTGATATCGGATATATCATGTTTGTTGCAATTATGTTTGTGAAACGTGTCATACTACAGAAACACAAGTGTTTTGCTACATTATCATCTTAAAAATGGCTTTAAAATCATTTAATATACAATATAACTAGGTAAATAAAATAAACAAATTATATAATAATTCAAAAAATCCAAATGTATTTACAATAATGATGAACAATCTTCATTAGTTGCAATCAGTAAGTAGAACAATACTTTTATAATAAACGCACAGAAATGTGTTGTGTATGTTTCGAATTTGAAGCTTTCCACTAGCAACTGGTGGTACCTCAATAGGAGTGTAAAATTCTCTGAAAGGTATATTATGAACATATTACATATGGCTGTGTATTCTTTTTTAGCGGCTCTGGCGGAATGCAGCAATCACTAAATCAAGTACAAAGCTAAAAGTCTTGTACATAAACATAAATAAGAATATCTACGCTAACTTATTCAAAAGTCAATTTCCACCAAATATTGTACAAGCTAAATATAATACATTTACAGCATTAAAGAAACAAATCTCTTTGAAGGTATTGCCCTGCATAAGAACAATTTGAATCCCCTACACTAAGGATGCTCTGTGCCAAGTTTCACTTTGGTTCTGGAAAATGATATTGTGAAATTTTAGACAATGATGATAATGGATAAAATTATGTTTTTAAAAAAATTACTGGTTCCTTAGCTCAGACGGGCTATTAAGTATGCAACAGGCACAGTTTTGGAGTTGACAATGAAATGCGACTGGACATCTCTTCAATCTTGTTTTAGAAAACTACATGTACATGCCCTATGCACTGAATTCCTTGGAATCATACACATGTTTATGCCTTTAATTAGTTGTATGTGCCAAAACAACAATTTTTTTTTACATTACCTGGTATACTGTAAAAAATACACATACATGTATTACAAGATCTTATATTCCTGCTGAAGACAGAGGATCTATCTTAATCATTAGAATAAGTAAGTCTAAACTTTGAAAGGGAAGACCTTAATAAAGAGGTCAACATGCTACACAAACAAAATATTATTATATTTAAAAATAACATTTATTCCAATGTAATTACTGGTACATGTATTTCTGTTACAAAAACTATTTCACTTGAAAAACTGAGAGCAATTGATATGTTCATATTTGTGGATTTATGTTGTCAAATCAAAATTTAACAAGAGATGTTTGTAAAACACTTATGCCCCCCTCCCCCCAAATTTGAATTTTTTTGTAAGTCCAAGGGGGCATAAATCTGTCAAAAATGGCACGATTGTATCCAAAACAGAACTTGACCTAGATATTCATCTGATTAATCTGTATATTAAATTTCATCTCAGTATGTGCAATGGTTGCAAAGAAAATGAACGGAAACTGCAAATAATTGAAATTTTTCCAAACTCCAAGGGGCATAACTCTGTCAAAAATGGTGCGATCTTACCCAAAACAGAACTTGACTTAGATATTCATGTGATATATCTGTATACCAAATTTGATTTCAGTATGTGCAACGGTTGCAAAGAAAATGAGCGGAAACTGCAAATAATTGAAATTTTTTTCCAAGTCCAAGGGGCATAACTCTGTTAAAAATGGTGCGATCGTACCCAGAACAGAACTTGACCTAGATATTCATGTGATACATCTGTATACCAAATTTGATTTCAGTACGTGCAATGGTTATG